TATCTTTGAGAATGTTTTATGTACACTAGAAAAGAATGTATATTCTTGTGTTCTGAAATAAAAGGGTCAGAAAATGTCAATTATGTCCATATGGCCTGATGTTTTGTTTAAGGCTGATATTCCTTATTGATTTTCTGCTTTGATGATCTATCTATAGTTGTCAGTGTAATATTGAGGCCTTCTATGTTCATTGGGTTTTTGCCAGTTTTTAGTTCTGTTAGCTGTTGCTTTATATATTTGGTTCTTCTTAATTAGGTGCATATATATTGAAAAGTGTTATGGCTTGTTAATCTATTTTTATCTTTATTATTATAAAATGTCCATATTTGTCTCTTGTTACCATTTTTTATCTTAAGATCTATTTTGTCAGATACAACTAGTGCTATACCTTCTTTTTTATGGATGCTATTTTTTTAGAATTTTTTTTTTGCCCTTTCAGTTTGTCTCTATTTTTCTTTGCAGCTGAGATGTGTCTCCTGAAGGCAGCATATTGCTGGGCTTGTTCTTTTTTTGATGAACTCTGCTACTCTGTGCCTTTTTATTAGTGAGTTTAGTCCATTTACATTTTTGTGTATGTGTGCTTATCACTAGTTCATATAAAATTAAGTTTTATTTGCACAGTGGTTCATTTTTCTTCTGAATACAAACATCCACCCCCTTTGCAAATTCATACATTTACTCCTCTCCTTTCATGTTTCTGTTGTCACAGATTATCCCTACTTATGTTGTGTGTTCATTTCCAAATTGCATTAGCTTTTGTCTTCTTCCTCTTTTTTAATGTTTTTACACCTTTAGCCTTCCAGTGATATTTAAATGTATAGTACCCTATTCTAAAAATGGGTTGTGATATCCTGCTTCTGTCTTCTGTTGATATTCTTGTAGTTTTGTAACCTTTTGTTCTTTGTTTCAGTTAGAATAACCCTCTTGAATATTTACTGCAATAGAGGTCCTTTAGTAGTAAATTTTCTCAGCTTCTGTATGTCTTGAGAGTGTTTATTTCTTCTTCATATCTAAGGAATAACTTTGCTGGACATATTATTCATGATTTATAGTTTGAATATTTTATTCCACTCTCTCCTTGTATGTGTTCTGCTAAGAAACCTAATGATCATCTTATGGGATTTCCTTTTTGGACACTGTCTTTTTTTTTTCCCCCAAGGCTACCTTGAGAATTAATTCTTTGTGTTAATTTTTAACAGTTTTAATGTAATATGCGTTAAAGAAGGCCTGTTTGGATTTAAGTAGTTAGGTGTTTCTGTTTGCTTCTTGAATTTGGAAATCTAGCTCTTTCCATGGGTTTGGGAAGTCCTCATCAGCTATTTATTTGAATAAGCTCTCTGTTCCCTTCCCCATCTCTTTTCATATGCCTGTTATTTTACATTGGTTTTTTTTTTCTGATAAAGTCAGATAGTTCTTGTAGAGTTCTTTCATTTTATTTTATTCTATAGTCTCTCTCTTTTTTCCTCTGCATCATTTCTAGGTTTCTGTTTTTGTAATCACTAATTCTTTCTTCCATCTGGTCAGTTGTATTTCTTAAGCTTGATTATCTCTTTTATAGAGTTCTTCATCTCAACAAATACTATTTTGTTCATTTTAAAAGTTTTGATCTTTTTGGTAAATACTAGTTTTGTTAATTTATTTTTTTGAGTTTATTAAATTGCTTATCTGTGTTTTCTTGTAACTCATTGATTTTTTTTTCAGAACTGTGATTTTGAACCCTCTGTTGTAAGTCACATATTTTCATGCATTTAAGTTAATTTTTCTGGAGATTTTTAAGTTTTGTTTCTGAGCTTCCTTATTACCTTGTTTTTTTTTTTCATGACGTTTGATGGATTCCTTCTCTATCCAGGCATTTATGTATGAGTAGCACTTTCCTAGTTGATTGATAAAAAGAAGACTTTTTATTGTTTTCCAGCAATGAGACTGAATCACAAGTTTTTGGTTCTCTTGTACTGCTCAGGCTTTTCATATTTCTGTGAGTTAATGGAGAATGTCTTGTGTTCCCTGGGATGGTGAGTGTCCCCTCTGTGAATAGGTCACTGTGTTCTCAGGGGACCAACTTCTCAAGGGAATGTGATAGCCAGTGTGTTTTCAATTTATGAAATTTCAGGGTCATCCTCTGAAGCCACACATTATTGACAGTGCAGCCACAATGAGTGTGTGTATGGGATGAACTGGGGGAGGCTGCTTGCTGCTTTTGTTGCTTTGGTCATCCAGTAATAACTTGGAAGACCTTAGCAGTGTCCCCTCTATATCTCCACTGACCCTGGGATTAGTGCAGACTGCAGCTTTCACTCAGGGAAAAATGTTTTTGTACTACCAGGTCTCAGATTTACAGATAATGTGCTTGCAACCCAACACTCACTGCTACACCTTCTTTTGGGCCATGCCACTGTCTCTGGGAGGGTATGAGGTGTGCTTTGAGGGGGTGTAAAGAGATGGCCAGGCTTTGTGGCTTTGTTTCTTTATCTGAAATGCCAGTTGCCAGACAACCATGGCTGTACCTCTGTTCTTTGTCCTAACCCAGGTCACTGGGTTCATCCATAGCACATACTGACCACCCTGAAGAAATGTACACTCCATCTCTCTGTACTCCTGGATGAAGGGAGTGCCAGGACTGACCTGATTTCTTCCTTCTCCTGGTTGAGACCTTCAGTGGTCTTCAGGCTGCATCCTGGCACTATTTCAACTCTTCTCTCTATCCACCTGTCTGGTTTGCTTCCCTTGCCCACCTTTACAAGGTTTAATTCACAGATCTCTCAGCTGTGCTTGTGCATTGAGCAAGGAATCCTTTGTTGAATTATAGCTATACAAATTATGGAAACTTCAAGGGGAGAGGCCAAGGGGACCTCCTAAGACCCAATTCTTCTGACCTTTATTCTTATTTTTCTTTTTTAAATAAACCTCATACTGTTTCCATAGTGGCTGTACCAATTTGCATTTTTATCAGCAGTGTATGAGGGATCCTTTTTTTCCACATCCTCTTCAATGCTTGTTATTTTTTATCTTGTTGATAATAGCCATTCAAAACAAGTATGAGGCAGTGTTTCATTGTGATTTTTATTTGACTTGCATTATTCTTATAGCTAGTGAAGTTTAACATCTTTTCATATATCTGTTCGCCATTTGTATATCTTCTTGGGAAAGTGTCTTTTCAGGTCCTCTGTCCATTTTTTAAATTGGATTGCTTGGTTTTTGTTGTTGTTGTTGTTGCTGTGTTGTATGAATTATTTATATATGGATATTATTTATTTATGAATATTAGCCCTTTATCAGAGATTTTGTTTGCACATATCTTCTAACCTTTGGTTGGTTGCCTTTTTGTTTTGTTGACTTCTATGTGTGTGTGTGTGCAGAAGCCTTTTAATATAATGTAGTCTTACTCATTTGTAAAAATAATTTTATATTGTTTTTTATTTCATTATTTGGGTTAAATTTTTATTGTCATTCAATTACAATTGTCCCATATTTTTCCTGATTGCTTTCCCCTGCCTCACCCACCCCCATCCAACAGTCAAACCCCACCCTATTGTCCATGTTCATAGGTTCTTTGTTAATTGTGTATTTTACTCAGATCATTAGTTTCATAAGGGCAGTTATGTGGTATATTCTTTGAGTTTTTTAATGTTCCTGTATGAATATATTTTGTCCTTATAAGAGAATAATTGGCCTGAACAAAATTTTTAAGATTATCTCATTACCTCAGAATTTTGAAATATTTTCCCATAGCATTGAACATGAGTCATCTGAAGCCAGTTTCTTAGAATTCAGAAACAATGGATGAGATTGAGCATAAACTTTTCTAAAAATTTTGGGCACAATTTTGTGAGTTTTCCATATTATAAAAATAGAGGTTTTAGGGATTTTTCTCCTAAGACTTCTCTCTAAAATCTTAGTGTCTGGTATAAGTTTTGACTAATCAGATAGGCTCTGATTAAATGTCAGTTGAATGCTTATATGAAAAGCAAATAAAGGAATGGTATTTAAACTTCTTTCAACCTGCCACAGAAATTATCAGAGAAAGTAACAAAAATAAATACTCAACACAGTAATTAATCCTCCCATGAATATTCCAGTCCCCTGAAGTTACTTCCTTATATCCAATGAAACTTCTATCTAATCAGACACCACTGAGGGGGCTCCCAGGCCATGGACTGTGAAAAGAAGGCTGAATGACTCCTCTTTATACTCAGAGTACCTGTAAACACATTCAACTCATTTAGGGTATAGTGGGGATCCAAGACCCTTGCATATTCCATATACAACATGAGTGATTATCTATCAGCTCACCATTTCCAGGTCAAGCCCACTCATGCATTCCTTTAACAGTGACAGTTTCTATGACTGGAGAAACTGAGCAAAAGAGTATTTCCCATAGATTATCTGATAATCTGTATTGGCACTGCTGCTCTTTCTCACTTCTTATAGAAAAAGATGTTGAAAACCCAAGTGTGGGCTTGATTTCTTCAAGGCCCAGAGGTACTGAATTTTCCCGCCAGACTATAGACCAAAGACTTTTTATTATTTTTTAAAGATTTTATTTATTTATTTTTAGAGTGAGTGGAAGAGAGGCAGAAAGAGAGGAAGAGAAACATCAATGTGTGATTGCCTCTTGAGTACCCCCCACTGGGGACCTGGCCCACAAACCAGGCATGTGCCCTGACTGAGAATTGAACCAGTGACCCTCTAGTTCATAGGCTGGCACTTAATCTACTGAGTCACACCAGCCAGGGGTGACTCAGTAGATTAAGCCAGAATTCTGGCTTTATTATAAGCCAGAATTCCTTTCATAGTTGTTGGTGAAATTAGGAGGTTTGGAGGTAGACAAAAGCAGGAAGAAAATCTGGAAGCCAGCTAGTGGGAGAGATAAAAGGGAAATAAGATACCATGTGGGAGGCTTGTGGCTGAGGGAGGCAGCAGGGTTTCTCTTACAGGGAAATGAGCAGAGAAAGAGGTTTGTTTGTATGACAAGGGAAGTTAGGTAAGAGTTCAAAACCGTTTGAAGGGAGAGCTGATATCTGAGTTCTGAGAACAGTTTGTGCTGCTAAGGCATCATTCACCTAACAGAGCTTCAATGCTGCTGATTCTGCTCCTGCTCTTCAAGAAAATTCTTTGTCATGGGCCAAGCACAATGGGTAAGAATTCATCTATGATTCATCTATGCAAATTCACCTATGTGGCAAAATAGTGAAAACCCCAATGGAAAGATACTTGTGGCTGGGCATAGCAGGGTGGATGCAAAGTTCTGGGGAGGATCTGGGAGCAAGGAGTAATGCTCCCACTAGGTACCCTTGAAATCTGCATGACAGTTTAGTTCCAGGCAATGCATCCTTGACTGCAGTCTCAGCTTCTTTCTCTGATTTTGGGGAGGAGAGACTGAATCAAGGAGAAGGGGATATGGAAACATGTGTAAACTCTGTAACTATCTCCATTTTTCTTTTCCTATGTGGTCCTGTTCTCCCCTTCTTTCAGCCTCTCTCAATTGTCATTTCTTTGTCTCTCAGCTGCCCAAGTTCTAGGACCCCATCATCTAGCAGCAGAAGAGCCCCTCTCCTTTCGCATACTCCAGATCTTCTCCTTTGCCAACCACAGCTGGGCACATACCGAAGTCTCAGGCTGGCTGGGCGAGTTGCAGACTCATCGCTGGGACAGTGTTTTGGGCACCATCCACTTTCTATGGCCCTGGTCCCAGGGTAGTTTTAGCAAGGAAGAATTGAAGAACCTGCAATACCTATTGCAGTTGTATTTCCATAGTTTCCCTCAGGAAGTGCAGGCATTTTCCAGTGAGTTTCAGTTTGAATGTGAGTATGCTTTTTCAAGCTGATATTTGCCTGGGGGTTCTGATCAAGGGAAGATGGTATATGTCCTATGTTCTGTCCTTTCAAACTTCCTGATCTTTTTTCTCTCTCCTTTGGCCCACTCTCTCCACTTTGCTTCACCCTTCACCACATTCTCACTCTACCCCTGCCCTACCACATACACAGAAAGACTTACATGAACATATCTCTTCACATCCTTAAATATACCCTCATATGCTGGCTCCTTGGAATAGTTGCCTCTTTTTGATGTTCTTTCCCTCGTCCTTGGCCTCACACTCAGCCTTTCAAAACCAGGATCTTGCTCTTCTTTCTCTTTACCCTGATTGTTCAGGTGGCCTACCTAACCAGTACCTAACCACTCCCAAGTGAGTTCTTCATGACTTGTCTGCCATGTTTCTAATAGTCTTCCTTTTGCGCCCCTTTGAATTAATTGTTTCAATATACCTTTATTATCTTTGCATTTTCTCCCCACAAATTTCTTCTCCTTTTTCCATCCAAACTCTAGTCTTCCATGGGACTAGAACTTTTTTCCTTATATCCCTTTACTTTCTAGATGGTTTACTTTCTTTCCCTATAATTCTTTTTATATTTACTCTTTCTTTCTTGTGCATCCCCAGATCCCTTTGAGCTCCAGATAGCATTCGGCTGTAGAATGCATTCTGGGAAGGCTTCAGAAAGCTTCTTAAATGGGGCATACCAAGGATCAGATTTCCTAAGTTTCCAAGGAAATTTCTGGAAACCATCTCCAGGAGCAGGGAGCCAGGCTCAGAAAGTTTGTAAAGTGCTTAATCACTACCAAGTTATTAAAGAAATTGTTCAGAGCCTTCTCGTTGATACCTGCCCTCGATATCTAGCAGGCCTCCTTGAAGCAGGGAAGTCAGAACTGGAACGACAAGGTGAGCCCATCTTTTTCTACCCTTATATTCTTATATTCTTGTATTTGAGCCTTTCTCTCTTTATCACCCCTTTGAAACCCATAATAAAACCCAGGGCTAGAGGGTGGGTTTGGGTTTAGGACTGTTTCCAAGACAAGTGATTATTCAAACTGTTAAGGTACCCAAGTCACTAAGCTATGGCTTAGGATGCCCTCTTAAATTACATTTCTTCTCATCTTCTTCTTTCCAGTGAAGCCAGAAGTGTGGGTGTCCAAGGGCTCTAGTCCTGGACCTGGACGTCTGCTACTGGTGTGCCATGTCTCTGGCTTTCATCCAAAACCTGTGTGGGCGATGTGGATGCGGGGTGAAAAGGAGCAGCTGGGCACTCAGCGAAGTGAACTCTTGCCCAATGTTGACAGAACATGGTATCTTCGAGTAACCCTGAATGTGGCAGCTGGAGAGGCAGCTGGTCTGACTTGCCGAGTGAAACACAGCAGCTTGGGAGGTCATGATATAGTCATTCACTGGGGTAAGAAAAAACAAGGGCCCAGATGGGAAATGATAATCTTCCCATAGTTTCAGGGTGAAATGGATGGGAATGATATGCACCAGAGGATAAAAGTGGGAAAATTCAAATAAAGAAGATAAAGAATGATAGCAATTAAATTAAAAAAAAAACATACACAGAAGTAGATGATTAGAAATACTAGAGAGGGAAAGATATAAGTATTTGTCAAAAAAAAAAGAGATGGGGTGACATCAGAGACATAGACTCATAGAGTCAGGAAGATTCTAGAAAATACAGAAAAAAACTCTTGGAATATCTCTCTCCTATAAAATGAGAAACAGGTAGAATAGAGAGTACTTCACAGATTGACATTCTTATTTTATCCCCAACCAGATGGATACCCCATCCTCCTGATATGCGTCTGTTTGGCTGTATTAGTTACCTTGGTTATCTTGGTTTTGGTTAACTCATGGTTTAAAAAGCAAAGGTAAGACTCTTCTTGTTCTTGTTCTGTTTCTTCAACTACTTAACTAATTGCATTTTTCTCTATTGTTTTTCTTTTTAACCCTTTTCTGTCTAATTTCCCTTCTTTTACATCAAGCTCCTCTTCTCTTCCCACAGCTCAAATCAGAACATCTGCTCTCCCCATATACCCAACCCTGCTTTTCCCACAGAAGCCAATATCCAAGAACCCAGGAGTTCAGGAAGTTTTCTCTGCTTGGCACAGAAATCTTGGATCAAAAATGGATTCTTAAAGAAATCAAAGATAAGCCTAAATCAACTCAAATGACATTTCTTTCACTTTATACATAAGATACTTGTCTACTTCTTGTTAAATATGGTTTATACAAATAAACAAAATATGATTTTGTTAAAACATCTTATTCTGGCAGAGGTTCTGACTCATTTGGAAACCTGTCTCCCTCCCCCATCTTGTGACAATCTGTTTTCTGCTTTTGACACATGTTCATTTATCCTTCAAACTCAAACTCAGAGGCCTATTTCTCATGAAATCTTCTCTGGATTACTTAATTGAAATCTCAAGACAAGTACCATATGATTCCACTTATATGTGAAATCTAATAAACAAAATAAACTAACAAAATAGAAACAGATTTATAAATACAAAGAACAGACTGACAGTTGTCAGAGAGGAGGGAGGTTTGGGAGGTGGGTGAAAAGGTAAAGGATCAAAAAGAAAAAAAACTCATAGAAACAGTTAACAGTATGGTGATTACGAGAAGGAAGGGGAGTTGGAGGGAGGTAGAAGAAGGTAAATGGAGGATAAATGATGTTGGAAGATTTGGCTTGAGGTGGTAAATGCACAATGCAACATGCAGATGATGACTTAAAGAATTGTACACCTGAAACTATATAATTTTACTAACCAATGTGACCCCAATAAATTCAATAATAAAAGAAATACAAATTCTATAACTATAAAAAAAGAAAAAAATCTCTTGTATGTTTCCCAAATTAGACTAATCTCCCTAAATGCATTATTTATTTGTAGTCTAAACACTGTTATTTAGGTTTTTGCTCTCTTCTTTTTTAAAATATCAGTTTCTTAAAGGAAGAATTTAGGAGTTTATATTTGTATTCATGACGAAAAGCATAACTTGAATTCAGGGCCAGCTTTATGGGTGTGTTGACCTACCCATATGGGCACTTTGACCTATGTAGCTGTTGCCATCTTGAAATTTTCAGTAATTTTTGAATGAGATATTGCATTTTAATTTCATACTGACCCCACAAACTCTGTAGCTGGTTCTGCCTGAATATGATGTATTTCAATGATTCTGAATAAAATAAATTTATTGTCAAATTAAGTGATGTCTTAATTCATTCCCTCTTTGAGATATCTGCATCTTTGGCTGTTATTAAAATGTTTTCTTTCTCCTTTTTTCACTCATCAGAGGTGAAGAGGCAGAAAAGTGATTCAGACTTTAAAGTGACTGGTGTTTGTACATCTTTGGAGATATTTAAAATATAATGACATATAAGAAATCTTTTTTCAAAATAAAACGGGGTTAGACTGACATTTCCATTTCTCTGAGATTGTGCATGTGTGTGTCTTAGTAGATAAGCATATTTAGGGGAGAAATTAACATTTTGAGAAATTGGGGATTGGGGATAATTTTAATTGGCAGAGCCAAGGCAATGAAGGAAAGAGTGTTTGGGTGCCTGCCAAAGATATATGTTTATTTTTCTTTACTGTTTTGGTGTGCTATTATATTACCATTACTATTTATAGGTCATTTTCTTCTTACATTTTATATAAAAATTTTAATTGTCTAATGATTTTAATAGAGGTACATTTGAGCCTGTTGGAGAGCACAAAGCTGTTAAGATGCAGTTTATACTGATGTCCAACCGAAACCTTCATTTGAAAGTGGTAATTGAGAAGATTGGTAGATTTCTTAGTGGAAGTTTCTATTTTCCAGTTAGCAGATGGTTCCATGACCACTTACCAAGGCTGTACTCTTAACAATGAGCAAAGTTTAGGGGCTAGCTGTTCCATTGTTTAGAACCCATTACCTATTTTATGACATGTTTATTTATAAACAGATCTCTAGAGTCTAGAGAGAAAGGTAGAGTTTTAATAAGCTCTTTGAAACAATAACAAATAAAGGTCAAGTTTTTATGACATGAAAGAAGGACACAGGAGTGACCTCTATCAAATCTGAGAGGATTTTTAGTTTCTAGCAAAGGCATGTGATATGAATATATTTCCAATGTTTTCTATGGTAAAATATTTTCCATATTTGCTTCAAGACTCTAGTATTTGGTCACAATAATTCTTGAATTTTTTTACAGCATCCATATTTTTTAAAGAATTTTATTTATCTTAGAGGAGTAAGGAGAGAGAAAGAAAGGGAAAGAAACATCGATGTGAGAGAGATATATTGATCAGTTGCCTCTCACATGCCTCCAAATGGGGACCCTGCCCACAACCCAGGCAGGTGCCCTGACTGGAAATTGAACTGGAAACCTTTCAGTTCTCAGGCTGGCACACAATCTGCTGAGCCACATCAGCCAGAGCTTGAATTCTTAAATATGGCTGAAGTTAGCTTTTCTTGTCTCATGTCAAATCTTTCCCCCACTATATATTATGCTTCTGTGACACTAAATGTGGGGACCAGGGTAAGGGTGGAAGTAGCAGGAACAATTTCAAGCCTATTGTAACAATTCAAGGAGTTGTTGATAATAGTAAACCATAACACTTGAGATGGATGTGGTAAAAAGAGACTTGAAATTGTGTGTATTTTGAAAATGGAGCTAATGTGTTTTAAAGATAAATTCCATCTGTTGCATTAGAAAAACAGGGAGTCAAGAATGACTCTAGGTTTTTGTCCATAGAAGCTGGAATTCTATTTGTAATTACAATTAACTAGATAGATAAGACAGATAAGGAAGAAACAGATTTGGAGGACAAACTAAGAATTTGGTTTTGGATGTTTAATTTGAAATTCCTGTTAAGATTCAGAATGGAGAAATCAAACAGACCATTGGGTTAGGCCTGCAATTGAGATATATCCATGCTAAAGACACTTGAGATCAATAACAAAAATGTTTGAGCACTACTCTACAATGGTGGGATGGCCATATGAATAAATAGTTGGAATACAATGTTGTGACTGCTAATTAGAAATCACTGTTTTGTTTTCTGAGTTAGGTTGAGGTCATCAGGAAATTAGCAGCCAGTTCTTCCTGATGGATTACAAAACAGGCCTCAGATATTCCACTAAAATTGAAAGCTGAAAGATGATTGGTACACTGGGCCCACTTATGATGAAACTTAAAACTGTGGAAGTAAAGGCACAGAGATAGACATTTCAGTTTCGAATGTTGTGGGAATTCTAAATACTTAAAGATACCTGAAAAATAGAGCAATACTATTCAAAGTGTGGGACAACTGTTATGGAATAAGAATTCAAAAATTGTTTAAAAAAATAACAGGATCAGACTCAGGATACAGTTGTTACTTGTCCAAAACTTGCTATAATTGCAGTACAAAGGCTGAAATTAAACATTTTAAAACTTTTATAACAAATCAACAGAGTAATTTTATGTATGTTAAGCTAGTACTATAACAAAGACTTTTTTATTATTTAAAATAATTCATTTTCATTACTTTTTACAAAATGATTGATGCATAATAAATTTGGAGAAAATTACTCTTTTCTCAGGTTGAGAAACACAGACATAGAATGTAAGGATGTAGGCATGGTCATATATAAAAATAAGACATAAACCTTTGCATGTCATGTTGCATTATTTGAACATGATCTCATAATAAATAGGCCACAGATTTAAAAATATTTTTAAAAACACTAAAAATTTATGTTAAACATTTGTCAACATGTGTTAATATACAAGAAAATAAATCATTAAGTTGATAAAAAATAAAGGTGAAAGGTTTAGGGAAGGGGATAAAATGGGGAAGGGGAAGGGTCATCATGGAACGTGTATAAAAGGCTCATAGACAAAGCTAAAGAGGGGTAAGATTAAGGGTGGGAGGTGGGGATAGGTGGGAATAGGTGGGGCAGGGGTGAGTGTTGGGGTGAAAATGGAGAAAACTGTACTTGAACAACAATAAAAAAGAAGCAAATAGCAGAGATACAACTTCCTGTAAAATTTAAATAACGTTTCACTCCCCAACACCTAATATGAGAGCTTAAAACTGTGTCAGACATCTGAAATAACACAAGTACTGATTTTGTACCTTACCAGGTGATTTCCCCCTCAAGCTACAAGCAAATACACTGGAGACATAGAACACTCATTTCTTACTTTGGGAATATTTTCTTTTATGTTCTGTCATACTGAACAGTGTTTCACAGGGATGTTATAATGTTCATTTTAGAAAAACAAATGGGTCTACAGTGCAGAGACTGGATTTAAGGAGTAAATGAAGAGACATTTTCAGTAGTTACTGTGTAAATCTTGGTTACATAACCTAACCTAAATTAGAAGTTAGACAACAGTTGACTCAAATGATGTCAACATTTATGACATAATTTCAGCAGTCACTGTGAGGAAATTAAAGGGAAGCTCTGAGCCTGTACTATGGCTCACATTAAACTGTGCATTAGGCTGACTTTATGGGAATATCACTATTAAAGAAGATTTTTTCTTAAGGGACTCTAACAGACTTGAAATTACAAATAAAAACAATAGTGGGTTAAATATGACTTGCGTTTTGCTTTGGCTAAAGAAACAAAGAAGAAAATAAGAGATCTGGGGTGTGTTAGAAGTAATTTTTCAAGTACTATAATTTAAGCATCCCCTGCTTAAATTAGTATTTACATGCTTACAAAACATTTTAAATGCTTAAAAATGCCTTATTTTTTAAAGAAAGTAAGAATAGTTTTACTAGAAAAGTGATAAAATTTAATAAATAAGCTGGTAAAAACTAAAGATGTTTTAAGTATTTTGATAGGAATAAAGGAAATAAGGGAAAGGAGATGGAAGGAGGTGGATGAAGATATAAGGGGAATAAATGGTAATAGAAAAAGACTGGACTTCTGGTGGTGAACACACAATTCAACATACAGATGATGTATTATAGAATTGTACACTTAGAACCTATATAATTTTATTAACAAATGTCACGTTAATAAATTCAATGAAAGAAAACATCAAAAGACTGCTTATTATAATTAATGTTATTGTAAATGACTAAATTTTTCAAAAACATAAGAAAATTTGAGTTTTCTCCCCAAAAGATGTCAAATTCATAATTTAATAGTGATTATCCCCTCCTCAATAAGTGGAATAGATTTTTCATTTTAAAATATATTGATCATGCTATCAAAGTTCTCTAATTTTCTCCGTGTTTCCCTCTACCCTACACACCCCCTCCAATCCAGATTCCACCCTGAGTTCATGTCCCTAAGTCATACATATAAGTTCTTTGACTTCTCTATTTTTATACCATTCTTAATCTCCCCCTGTCTATTTTTAATGACCATTTATGCTTTTTGTTCCCTGTACCTTTTCCCCCATTCACCCTCCTCCCCCTACCCACTGATAACCCTCCATGTAATCTGCATTTCTGTGCTTCTGTTCTCGTTGTTTGCTTAGTTTGTTTTTGTATTCATTTTTAGGCTCAGTTGTTGGTAGTTG